TGGAAGGGTGCGGCACCGCCTCGGAGCCATGACTGATCGAGTTCTAGGAGCTCCATGGTGTTGGCGTAGAGGATGTTGAGGCCACTGCCTCCGTCCATCAGTACCTTGGTGAGCCGGGTGTTGCCGATGATCAGATCGACGACGAGCGAGTAATGCCCGGGGTTCGGGACATAGTTGGGGTGGTCCTCCCGATCGAAGGTGATCGCCTCCCGATACCAGTTAAGGTACTGGGGAGTAGCTACCTCAACCGAGAAGACCTCTCGGCGTTCCTTCTTTCGTTGACGCGCCGTGAGGCACGCTGAAGGCCCGCCGAAGATCATGAAGGCATTGTGCACCTCGGGGAACCCATCGTCCTTGTCGTTGTCTCCGTCGCCGGCGCCCTTCTTCCTGGCATCGTCGTTGGGGAGCCCAAGCTTGGCATAGTAACGTCGGAGCATGGTGCATTCTTCGAGGGTGTGCTTTATCGGGCCCTGGTGGTAAGGGCAGGGCTTCTTGAGCATGTCATCGAATATTTCGGGGCCCCTGACGGGGCCTCGGGGGTTCTTGCGATCAGTGGCTACGACGAAATCGGCCTCGAGGGCCTCTGGCTTCCCTGGGCGCCCCTTTTTCTTTTTCTTCGAGAAACGGGAGGCCAAGGCCCCGGGGGTCTCGTCCCTCTGCTTCCCCTTTTGCATCGCTGTCGGAGAAGATGACCCCGACAGCCTCTTCGCCCGAGGCGAAGTTGGTGGCGATGTCGAGGAGCGCGGCCGCTGAGGTTGGTACGTTTCGGCCTAACTCTCGGACCAGGTCTCGGTAGGAGGTGCCGGAGAGAAAAGCCTGGACAACCTCCGAGTCGCCGACGCTGGGCAACTCGGTGCACTACTTAGAGAATCACCGGATGAAGTCTCGGAGAGACTCGTTCGGCTTCTGGCGACAACTCTTGAGGTCCCAGGAGTTCCCGGGGCGCACGTATGTGCCCTAGAAATTCCCAACAAAGATCTTTGCCAAGTCGCGCCAGTTGTGGATCTGCAAGGGAGGGAGGTGTTCGATCCAGGCTCGCGCTGAGTCCGACAGGAACAAAGGGAGGTTACGGATGATGAGCAGGTCATCGTTCGCGTCGCCTAACTGACAAGCCAAGCGGTAATCGGCCAGCCACAATTCGGGGTTGGTCTCGCTGCTGTACTTTGTGAGGTTGGCCGGTTGTCGAAATCGGGCGGGGAATGGGGCGCCGCGGATGGCCTTGCTGAAGACTCGAGGGCCAAGTGGCCCAGGAGAAGGACTGCGGTCCTCGCCACTATCATAGCGGCCACCTCGGTGCGGGTGGTAGCCTCGGGCGGGCCCATCGTCGTTGTGGCGTCATCGCCTGCTGACCACATCATGGTCGTCTTGCGCCTCGCGTCGGTCACTGAGGCGGTCATGCACTGAGGGGGCCTTGAGGCGATCGTGCACCGAGGGCCGTTTCGAGGTGTCCCCACGCCATCGAGACGCGGAGCTTTCGGCCTGCTGTACCATGGCGGTCTCGAGAAGGTCTCGGAGCTCGCCGTGAACCCGTCGCCCCTCCATGGTAGAGGGCTCGGGCATCGCTCGGACTAGCATCGTCACTGCCGCGACGTTCTGGCTAGCGCAATTGAAGATTGGGGGTTGCTCACTCCCTTCGTCGTTGTTGATGCGGCGGTGGACGTCGTGGGCCCTCCGCCGGGCCCTTCCGCCATCACCGCGACGTCGCTGCTCCTGCTTGAGAGTGTCTCGGAGCTGCTGCAGCAGGAGTCGGTCTTGGTCGACTTTTGCCTGGAGCTCACGGAGCTGCTCTAGGTCCAGGCGTCGGAGTTCCTTGGGGGTGGCGTTCACGTTCCGTGCTGCCCGAAGCTCGATGAGCGGAGGTGTGCCGTCGCCCGCCCCTTGGCGGAGCGGGGAGCGGTTGCCTGCCCCTTCACTCTCATTACTTGCCCCTGGCATTCCGAGCCTGATGTGGAAACACTATCGAGTGGGATCGTAAGTGCCTTCGTCATCAGAGTCGGAGTAGCCGAAGCAGTAGTCGCTAGCGGCCAAGAAGAGGCGCATAGCTTGAGGGTTGCAAAGTCTGGAGAAGTCTGCTCTGGCCCATGCCTCGTCCTCCTTCGAGGAGTTGGTGTGGGTGTGAGCCGAGGTTGTGGTTGAGAAGTCAAGGGCGAAACGTTGGTGGCATCCTGAGGGCTCCGCATGAGCGGAAACGTAGGCGGAAGCGTAGGTGGCGGCGGCATTTCTCAACCCGAAGGGGTACGGAGACGGTGCCATTGCCGGGCCTTGCTCCGCCAGAGTTGGCTCCTCAGGCGGTGGTGGTGCGGAACTTGATGATGGGGCGTCGCTGCATGTCACCGGTGTCTTTCCCCTGTCCAAGCTTAGGCCAGACAGGTCCCCAACCAGGGACCTTGTACCAACAACCGGGCATGGGATACCGGCGGAGCGCGGCGCGTCGCCCTGAGGTCGTGCGGTGTCGGGGTGGTTCTGCTCGCGCCGTGCATGGCGAGCGTGACGAGAGCGGTGGCCCGGGCGCCGCCTGCGCCCGGGCTGCTAGTGCGTGATGCCGTCGTTGGCTAAAGGGGCTCTGGGTGGGAGGAGTACTAGCTCGTACTCACGTCCTAGAGACATGAACTCTAGGCTCCCGAACCAGATCATCGTGCCGAGATGTAGTGGGCGTATGGGATCTGCCATCTGGAACTTGTTGGGACGGTTAAGCTAACACGCAGTATCCCCCTACCTGGCGCTCCAACTGTCGGTGTTTCGGACCGGGGGGTCCTCAACCAACCAGTGAATTTGAACTGTGTGCCCCTAATCCCGGATGGTGATGCAAAGAGACACAAGGTGTATACTGGTTTAGACAATTGGTGCCCTACGTCCAGTCTGAGATATCGGTCTTGTATTCCTTGCACCAAAGTGCTTATAGTAGGGGGTTACAAGCTGGGCGAGAGAGGGAGCTGTTCCTAGGTCTCTGCGTGATGTGGCGCGGGCTGCTTGAGACGTTGCTCTCAGGCAGCGGGGGAGCGTGAGTCTATGCGAGTGTTCGTCTGACTTTCTCCCATTGTGGGCCTATGTGTGTGTGTGAGCGCGTATGCGTGTGTGTCCACCCCTGTCTAGAAACAGCCCCAACCTCTCCTTTTATAGTTGAAGGGAGGACCGGGGTGATACATGCGTTTGCTATGTAGTGGTCTTGCCAGCGGAGGCGGCGTACCTGAGCCCTGTAGCTTGCTACTGTGGCGGCATGGTCAACGGAGTGGTCTTGTCCTCGATTCACTGGAGCAACGCGCCGGTCACTCTCGATCTTGTGCGACGTGGGAGCTCCAGTGATAGCCTGGGGCAGGGCATGGCCGACGACGTGCTGGTCGCTATGCGTTGGCGGTGTAAAGAGCCGAGGCTCAGTTGGTGCTGAGGCCGAGCTGTCGCGGGGGGCTCGGCGGGCGTGAATTCGAGGCTGCCGAGCCCCTGAAGTGGATTGCCGAGGCTTGGAGGGAGCAGTTGGTCCTATACACTAATTTTGAGGCTATAGTGACCCGGACTACACTCCCCACGCCGCGCTATTCCTGGAGCAGGTATTAGGTAGCACAGCGTAGTACGGCCGTCAGTCATGGGTACAGTGCTGAGCACAGTGGCAGGTAATCCCTGCTCAGTCCTGTCTCCCGTCCCGTCGGTCACTCTGCGGTACTGCGCCGTCATGCGGCTGACGTTGCGGGAGTGGTTGGGCGCATTAACAGGACGCGACGCTTTGTCAGGGAAGTTGGTCGAGGCGGAGGCGACGAGGTCGTTGCAGAGCCGGCCTCGGGCGAATCGGAGAATCGGTAACCCGTCCGAGGCCTTGCGGGGCGGGGCCTCGGGCGAGAGGGCCTCGGGTGAGAGGGCCTCGGCGAGTCAGAGAATCGTTGCGGCGTGGGCCTCGGGCGAGTCGGAGAATCGGCCGAGACCCTGTGATCGTCCTTTGGCATTGATATAAGCGAGGCCTAAGGACTCTTTTCGGTTCTTGCTTAGGGTATCCGATAGGTAACCTCAAAAAAAATCCCCTATATCTCCTTTGCCACCTTATGTCTCTATCCCTTGATTTTGTTTTCTATATGTATGGATGTAGTTTGCTTACACATATGGTTTGTGTTGTAGAAAAAAAATGAAAATGTCTCCCCTCATAACTTATGCATGTATTGTTAATCTGGAAGGCACATTGTTTACATGTTTGGGACATTGATGCGAACAAACTATGTTATCTCCTATTTCTACTCCAATTTGTGCAGTCATTCTTTCGCTTTTGGCACTGTTTGCTTTTCCTTATTATTGTTGTTTATCGTATATGCATAGATAAATTTGTGGCCTTAACCAAGTGATTTGCCGGCGCGCGTGATGGACCAGTGTATAAACAATGCTCCAAAGAGATTTGCCGGCTTCTTTTTCTTTTTTCTTTTTTTTCGTAAATTGTAAATAAAATAACCAAAAAGCAGATGATGGCCTTGACAAGTACAGCACTGCATTGTTGACGTTTCAACTTCAACACGTCTCGTGGCGGCTCAGACCTCGCAATATATCGTGCTCGTGCTCGTGCCCGTAAAGCACTCCACTTGACCGTTCTCCTGTCCCGTCACTATCATTTTGGTTTTTGGATAATAATAATAACAATGACACCATGTCCTGCAATTTGCATGAATCTCAGAGAAAATTTAAAGAAAATCGTTTCAGTTTCTTCGTTCACTGTACTAGTAGTACTGTGCAGTAGTATAGGAGAGGATGTTTCTGTATTTCCCCCACGTTTTGAACTGCTCTGAGGACGCTGACTTTGTCCTAGCAATTAATCTTGTTCGCTGAAAACCGATGGATTTTTCCACGTACGAAAAACAAAAAGTTCAACTCTGCAGCTTCACCGAATGCATTGTTGTACAGTCAGAAGCCAAGTATAAACACCACAACACAAAAGGCCCGTTTTGACTTTGACCTTGACCTGTCCCCCATAAAGCTTGAGCAGAAACCAAGAACTCTGCAAGCCAACGCCGCAGGCTGCTCGTGCGATGGCCTCGTCCCACGATCTCACCGCCATGCTCCTCTTGCTCTTCTCCATCCTCTCCGGCGGGTTGGGGCCGCCGCAAGTCCAGGCGCAGCAGCCCTACGGCACCCAGATCGCCGACTGCCCCAACCAGCACAACTCCTCGGGTCTGCTGGGCTACTTCTGCGGCGCCGCCGGCAGTAGCGCACCACCGTCCTGCCCGACCTTCCTCACATTCACCGCCCGGCCGCCGCGCTCGAGCCTCGCCTCCATCGGGGCGCTCCTCGGCGCCGACCCCGCCAGCGTCTTGGCGCACAACGACAACGAGCAGGACGCCGGCGCCGGGGCGGACGCGCCGCTCCCGGCGGGCACCCGGGTGCTGGTCCCGACGACCTGCGCCTGCACGGCCACGCCGGGGGGCCGGTTCTACCAGCGGAACGCCACGTACGTCGCCGCGGCCGGCGACACGCTGTTCATCATCGCCAACAACACGTTCCAGGGCCTCACGTCGTGCCAGGCGCTCGAGGCGCAGGGGCTCCGCGGCGCGCCGCCGCAGAGCCTTGACGCCGGCCAGTCCCTCCCCGTGCCGCTCCGCTGCGCGTGCCCGACCGCGGCGCAGGCCGCGGCCGGGGCCAGGTTCCTCGTCAGCTACCTCGTCGACGTGTCCGACGAACTCGCCGCTGTGGCCGCGCGGTTCGGGGTCGACGCCCAGACCGTCGCGGAGGCCAACCAGCTGCAGCCGCCGTTCACCATATTCCCCTACACCACCCTGCTCATCCCCGTCAGCGCGCAGCCTAACGTGTCGCGCATCCAGACGCCGCCGCCGGCTCCCCCGCTTCCGCCTGTGGTGGTAGCGCCTGCGCCGGGGAAGAAGAGCGGTAGCCGTGTCGGGGTCTACATTGGCGTTGCCGTGGCGGTGGTTGCCGTCGCCACGATTGCCTCTGCCGGGGCTTTCCTCGCTCTGAGGGCGAGGAGGAGGCGAGCCCGCGCCGTTCTAGCCGCCGGCGCCGTGGTGACCGAGAAGGAAGGTAAGGCAGGCAAAGGAAACGACAGGGCGGCGACGTCGTCGGACTTCACCGTCACCGGCGGCGAGTTCTCGCTTTCCACTACCGAGGCGTTCTCGAGCATTTCCGTGACGGACATCAAGTCGTCGCTGAAGGTGTACACCTACGCGGAGCTCAAGGCGGCCACTGACGACTTCAGCCCGGACCGCCGCATCGGCGGGTCGGTGTACCGCGCGGCGTTCAACGGCGACGCCGCAGCCGTCGAGGTGGTCGACCGGAACGTGTCGACGGAGGTGGAGCTGATGCGGAAGATCAACCACCTCAACCTGATCCGCCTCATCGGCCTCTGCCACCACCGCGGGCGGTGGTACCTCGTCACCGAGTACGCCGAGCACGGCGCGCTCCGGGACCGCCTCCTCGCGGCCGGCACGGGCGCGGCGGCGCCGCTGACGTGGGCGCAGCGGGTGCAGGTCGGGCTCGACGTCGCCGAGGGGCTCAGGTACCTGCACGAGTACGCGCGCCCGGCGTGGGTGCACATGGACGTCAGCAGCGGCAGCGTCCTCCTGGCCGGCGACGGGCCCCGCGCCAAGCTCCGGGGCTTCGGCGCCGCCAGGGCCATCACGGGCGCCACCGCCGGCGAGGAGGCGCTGTTCACGATGACGAGCCGCATCGCGGGGACGCGCGGGTACATCGCGCCGGAGTACCTGGAGCACGGCTTGGTGTCGCCCAAGGCCGACGTGTACTCGCTCGGCGTCATGCTCCTGGAGCTCGTCACGGGCAGGGACGCCGAGGAGCTGGTGGGCGACGGCGCCGTGGGCGACCCGTTCGTCGCGCTGCGCGAGCTCGCCGAGGAGCTCGACGGCGGCGGCGACGCCGTGCTGCAGCGGCTGGAGGAGCTCGTGGACCCGGCGCTGCCGGCGGGGAGCTGCCCGCAGGACGCCGTGGTCATGGTGGTCAGGCTCATCGAGAGGTGTGTCAAGCAAGACCCTGCGCGCCGTCCCACGACCGGGGAGGTGGCGCAGCGCCTCCTCAAGCTGTCGGGGGTCTCGGTGCTCAGCTGGCGGAACTCGCCGGAGTCGCCTCGCAGCTCCGGCAGTGGAAAAGGCCTCATGTACTAGCAGAGTAGTCAGTTTTAGCCAATGGCCATGCGTGCCATCGGACACGAATTATCAAGGTACCAGAGAGAAATCTTACGGTACTTCCACTTTTGAGTTGAATTTTGTTCACCACAAAGAAAAAAAGAACACTGTACACACGTGTGTAGTATATTTGATTGCATTCATGCGCAAAATGTAGATATATGGAGCACATCATTTCCAGACTTCAAAAGTAGAAGCGGTGCAAACCTCCTTGTCAATGGAATCGTGAAAACTCATATTTACAGCATTTCTAAGAGGCATTCTAAATTCCATGTTCTATACCTTCATTTGGCTATCCACTCCAAAAAATCATCTCTTCAATATTCAGCGTACTCCAAAAGACTAGCTATATCTCACTCTTCATTTCTATTGATCTATATTTATTAGTATTCAAATTAATATGAATTGATGTATTTTTTGTGATCTCTCATAATTAAATCGATACTCTTAAGTTCAAATATTTTACGAAAGCAGACAACTTTGAAGAATTTTAACTTATAATATATAAGAGATTTTGAGTTAAATCCAGCTAAATTGGGTTCTCTGTTAATACTCTATTGGCAAAAAAAAAAGACATTATTTTTGTATTTATGAAAGGAGGAGAAGGAATGGAGTTTATGAAAGGGCGAGCAACACAAACATGTCACTAGGTGTAGCGAGGCATACCGGGTAGCGGCCGCCGGCCAGCCAAATTTGGCTGCCGACACACACAAGATAGCACGATTGGCTAGTCTGTTGAAGGCCAATTTTCTTATACATTGGTTAAAGAAAACAATAGCGAGTTAGATTCCAACTCTTTGAGATGTTCTTAGGTAGTTTGCGCCTAAGATTTTCCAAGTTATAATTTGGGTATCTTCATCTTAAAGAAATTATTCGAAGCGAAAGCTCCAAACTTATTGGAATAAACAAAATTACTCATGAACAATTCAAAATTGCACAAAGAATCTTGTGAGAAAAAAGAAAACCAGGAGTTAAGATTTCTATGTAGAAAAGTTTCCTACGCACTCAAAGAAATTTTGCTCTACATTTCTATGCAGTGGTACAGTGCATGATCCTATACGAACTTTCTTTTATGTCTCCAGGACCACTAACGCATAAACCACGTCAAACCAAGAGAGATTAATATCCAAATAGGACGGATTCGAAATTGTCATAGAAAAAATTCCAGTGTGAAAATCCTTATTCGATGAGAAACTGAAAAGGTAAATGCGTTTTTGACGTCTGGTCAATAGGTTGTACAGATGTTAGTTTTGCATTTCTCAACAAGGCTCTCTGCTTTGAATTCCTATATATGACCTTTCAACATTGTGAAAATTCGTGGTGTTGCGAGTTATATACACAACTCATATCTTATGTGTTTCTATTACTATGTTTCAAGGCCCTCAATTTCTAAAAAAAAATGTAGATCTAATTTTTTTTCAGGACCTATGCTTATTCTAAATTTCTAACACAAGATCTTCATCCGAGAGGTAATCATTTGCGTGTTTCAGGTTTTATTTTGGAGCAGATAAAGATTAATCATGAATATTTTATCAAAATAAAGTCACTTCAAAATTTATATTTCAGTATTAAACCAAAGGAATAACGATGTTACATATGACCACCTCAACAAATTCTTCACATCAATCCATTGTCGTCTAGTCCGGTTAGGATACCTGGCTTTCACCCAGGCGACCCGGGTTCAAATCCCGGCAATGGAATGCTATTTTTTGTTCCCTTTCCTCACGCGCCTTTTTTCTTTCCTCCCCTATCTTGACCCTGACCGTCCATTCACTGATCGGACGGCGATGCTGCCCCGCCGTAGGGTTCAACGGACCCCCAGTCCGTCCCCAACCCCAGCAGCGCATCCCTTTCCCACCTGCACACGCCGCCGCCGGCGATGGCCGCCTCCGCCGACGACGTCGCCCCGTCAACCGCCTCCGCCTACCTCGACCCCTCTTACTGGTTCGCTCTCCCTCCCTTCTCTGCTTCACCCTCCTACCCTCCTGACCAGCAAGCAATCTGACTGACTCTGACGCGACAATGGATGGCCTCCGCCTGGCCGTGCGGCGGCCGCTCGCAGGGACGCGCGGTTCGGGAAGGAGGAGCACTACGAGTGGTTCAAGGACTTCTCCCACTTCCGCCACCTCCTCGCGCCGCTCCTCTCCCCGTCCCTCTCGGTGCGTTCCCTTCTTTGCCCTCTCCCAGTCCCTGCTCCTTTTGCCCCCAATCCTGTCGCGTTGTACGCGTAGCATCAGTGGTAAAGAGGAGAGCTCTGTTTGCGTGCGTGTAGGTCCTCGAGGTCGGGTGCGGTAACTCGCGGCTCGGGGAGGAGCTCCTGCGGGAGGGCGTCGCCGGCGGCATCACCTGCGTCGACCTGTCCCCCGTCGCCGTCCAGCGGATGCGCGACCGCCTCGCCGCTCAGGGCACCAGAGGTAGTAAATTTGCTGATAGATAGAGGAAGCTTTCGCACCATCTGGGCTGAGATTTTGGTGCTTTCTTCTTGCAGGCGTGGATGTTGTGGTGGCGGACATGCTTGATCTGCCGTTTGAGCAAGAGAGCTTTGACCTCGTCATCGAAAAGGGCACCATGGTATGTAATGTTCATTAACTCGTTCCATCTTCTGTGTGCCCTAGTGTCACTAAATAGTGCCTTGAAGTTGGGAAAACAATTCAGACTGGATAGAAAGGCAATCCCATGACCTCAATTTGAAGAGTACACTTCGTTGTTTGGCCTACGCTTTAGTGTTCTAACCATAGTACTGTATTTTGGAAGATAACAAGACAGCTATTTTTAGCACCATTGTTCACATGTTAACAAGAACAAGAGGCTTGCATCTAGATAGCACGTGCGCAAAAGCTCAACATGTACTGTCCGGTTACAAAAACTAAAACTTGAAGGATGGCTTGTTGTCTAGCGTTGAAATGAACAGATTGGATTCGTCTTTAAATGCAATACATCCATTTTATAAGTTTTCTTTAACAGTACAACAATATGTTGGAGTTGTGAAATGGTTTCAAAGGAGAACTTCTGCTGAAGTAAATTATATTCCGACAGCGAAGAGGACCTGGTCCGACATTCATATCTTCAATTAATCATCATTCGAAACAACCCATAGCATGATGTATTCCATTCATTCTACTGGCTAGTGCTATTATTTTACATGATGTTATCTGTTACACTTAACAAAAGACCATCCTTTTGTACAGGATGTGTTGTTTGTGGACAGTGGCGATCCATGGGACCCCAATCCTACAACAGTGGATAACGTGATGAAAATGCTTAAATGTATCCACAGGGTTTTGAAGCCAGAAGGCGTCTTTGTATCAATTACCTTTGGACAGGTAGGGAGATTTACCAACAATTTTCTGTGTCAGAGTTCTTTTGGTTTTTCCATCTTTTGGTTTGGTCTGAAGATATTTGATTTACCTATTTACAGTATATAAATGTGTGCATTACATGGGAATTGGGTTTCTTTTTGAATGAAATCACTTTTTTTCAGAGCTATGTGCTACTGAACCATTGCTACTGGAAGATGATATTGTGAAATAGTTAAAGACTGTCTTTCCTATAGGATTAAATAAATAAGTAAAGATGGAAAAGAGGATCTGAACTGAAGGCGGAACTGATGTCTTGTTCTTTCCTTTTATCTACTAACCTTCTGTTCTCAATGAAGTACTACTTTTCATATTCAGCCACACTTTCGGCGGCGATTTTTTGAAGCTCCTGAGTTTACATGGTCTGTTGAGTACAGTACCTTTGGTGATGGCTTCCATTATTTTTTCTACACTCTTAAGAAGGTTAATTATGGGCACTTCCTTTGATCTCACTCCATCCTATCAGTTTAGCTTGAATATTTACCTCATACAAATTATGATTTTTCCATTATAGAAGTTTTTTTCATTGCTGCAACTACTTTGCCCTAGAGAAAAGCTATCTCCTTAATTATTTGCCTTTATTTAATCTCTAGGGCAAGAGGTCACTGGAGTCCAGCAGTTTCCAAAATACATTACCAACTGCCCCAAGAATAAATATGGTCCACGAAGAGCTCGAGAGTGAGGATTTTATATTCCTCATAAACCTTTGATGAGCTGTGAGTGGCAGCTTAACAAGCAACTGAGCTAACACAACAAAAAACGTTGGTGATCCTGCAGTGATGTTTTTTTTTCCTGGGCGGCAAATGGGAAGGATGCCTGTAAAATGTGTGATTTAGGATAGAATTACATTTTGGGCTTTGCTGTTTAGTAATGCTATAATACTGCAGGCCAGAGATCTATGTATGATCTGTTTAAACATTATTAATTTCCTTTTAAAATCTGTGTATTGTTTTAACTTCTGAACATATGGAATGAAATTGCATTATTTCTGCTGTTATATGAAATCCATAAATGAGAGTACTTGTTAAATTTTTTAGGGGCTCTTGCGTTTGTACTCTTGTTTTGTATCGAAATTGTGATTTTGCCCCTATTTTTTTTGACTTTGTGAATTTACCCCTACTGTGTCATTCACGAAGCACCAGTTTGCCCCTGCTCCGTCATCCACCCCTAACGGTGTTAAACTTTGTACAAAAGACATAAATGCCCATGCGATTTTGCCCCTTGTTTTTATGCCTAATTGTGATTTTGCCCTGATTTAGAATTAGACTTTTTCCCTATGTGCACATAGCATTTTCCCTGCGGCTTTAGAGTCTGACGCGTGTGGCCAATCAGAGCTGATCGACACTGTGCCTGTGCACCGATCTATAGACCTATCCTCCTCCCTTTGGTCTACGAAGACCGGGTCTACAGAGAGAGAGAGAGAGAGAGAGAGGGAGTGGGTCTCTATACCAATGACAAGCGGGACCAGTAAGGTGAGGTGTCGCCCATCCATTGGCCAAGGCGACGTGGCCTGGGGCGAACGGCCTCGGTCCGTCCTCATCCCCCTGTTGGCTCGGTCGCAGGAGAGGCAGAGAGAAAGTGTGAGAGAGGGAGAGAGGAAAGGGAGAGAGGAGGGAGCAAGGT